TGAGGAGGAGAAGCTGAAACTGCTGAAGGAAAAGGACGAGAAATGCCATGAACTTCTTGTTTTGAAAGAGAAAACTCCAAAGGATCTTTGGGTCGAAGATCTTGATGCGTTTCTCATCGCCTTGGATAAGCAACAGCAGAGCGAACAAGCAGATGACAACCGATCGTTGAACTTGGATGCAAAGGCACTCAAGAGTAAAGCACCACTTAAAACTCAGAAAAAGAATATCAAAATGGAAGTGCTACCTTCGCCTCGTGCACAAAGAGTCCCACCACCTTCGGTTACGATCGAGGAAATGACAAAGGCCGCGAAGAACAAAGAAAAGAAGGCGATCAAGATCGCGGAGGTATCTTATGAATTTATTTGTTTTTATGTCGTTTTCTCACATTTATCATTCATTTCTAGAAGGCCATCGGGGATGAAAAAGAAGAGCTGGATGAACTAGAGACCAGTGGCTTGATGGAGCGACTGATGAAAAAGCGGCCTGAACTGCATGCACCTGCTATTAAAGTTCATGGCAAGGGGAGCAAAGTTGCCAAAGGTATAAGTTCTTCCCTTATCGGCGGTTCAGTTGTAAAAACGTGTCTTTTTGCTGCTGATACAGGAATCCAGCGATTTTTTACGACAGCTAGCCAAAACGACCAATTAGACGAAGGTGCTTCAATGAAAACCGCTGAGGTTTCGCCTGTTTTGACAAAAGCTAAGCCAGTCACAAAAAGGAAGCGAAAGTCTTTTGGAAGAAAGGTAGTTTTGTTGTTAATTGGAGACATGCATGAGCAGATGCTTGATTATTTGTCAGCTTTCAAATTTAGAAAACAGTCAGACGTAAACACTTAACATATCAGTCGAATTCATTCGCTTGTATTACTCGTGCTGAATATTTTCTTTAACAGTGCATTCGAGGAGAAACTGCAAAGATGGGTTTTTTTTCGAAAGGTCGTTATTTTACGGAATCCCTGATGCCTCGTTTTTCGACCTATCTCTTCTTCATTTCGGAGTTACAGCCGTGATTGCATAGCAGGATTTAGATGTCAAAATGGATCCTTGCAATAGTAATATAATAAATTTATCAGTTTCAGCGAGACCTTGTCGTTTTCGGTCTTGAAGGCAGACACATCATACACTGTCGCCTTGTTCCCGATCTCTTGCCAGCGTTTATGCTTCGACAGAAGATAACATTAGTTTGGAGCAAAGCAGACTCCTTCAATGTACTTGTCCAAAATTATTCTACACTGCCCCCGGGTTTTTCGTCCGGTCCGTTGGGCAAGTAGTAGTTGTTTAATTTTATGCAGTTATTATTGGTTTTGCTATGGCTGTTCTTTCCGATGCTGCTCCGACGTGCGTTCTGAAACTGTTCATTAGAATGATAGATTCCTTAGTCGGAATTTTGTACATAGCACCTACTTCTTCTTCTAAGAACTGCTCTTATTCATCCTTTAAATTAGGTGCATAGACCTGTGACAAGATCATAATTAGCCTGTTGTAGCTTCATTCGGATGATTGCGACCATTCCGCTGACTGGCTTCTAGTCGATGATTCTATCAGTCAAGTTGGTTTCTACCAGAACACCAACACCGGCCTTAGCGCTCGTCGTGATGTGGAACAATCGTTGAAGCTTCCACCCGCAGAGGTTTTAGATGCCAGAGCCTTGGCAGTTCATTGACGGGAGTTCAACTATGTCCAGTTGGTACGTTGCAGCCTCAGCAACTAGCTGCTGCTCTTTCCCTTTGAGTGAGGATGTTCCAATTTTCTACTATGAGCTTCCACTGTCGGTTTCGTTCCTGCGAAGCCTTATATGTCGTGCTATCGCAGCAGAATGTAATAGCTTTACGAACGTTAGATTACATAAATTGTAATTGATCATTGTTACAATAAGATTAGAATTCCAAAAATTTCCAGTTTTAGTGAAATTTGGGAACCTCATCTTGTCCATTTAAGAACCTTGTTAAGAGCAAATAACAAGTGTTTTCTTCCTAGTAACATGAATACTATTTGCATACGGCATTTGTTAGTTGTTGTATGAAGAGATTCCTTACTAACAGGCTTTATCGATGATTATTTTTATCTTAAATTTTAGTTTTCGCCTCATTGCTTGAATGTCCTTTCTTTGGTATGAATATTCGTTCTTCGGTGTCCGAATGTTCGTTGTGACCCTACCATTAGACTGAAAGATGTTAATATGAACATTTTATTTTCTAAACATTTTACGCACATGAATCATCGTGTATTTTGTTCGTAATTTGCTAGTTATACTGAAAAATAGCGTAATGGCAGTTTATTTTATACTGGACGTGAAAGTGAATCAGGCGAATCACCTTTGCTTAACCTGCGTGCATAAAACGTACAAAATTTTTGATTTTGAATTTTTAAACAAAAGTTATTCAAATTGTCTCTTACTACTTTTTTTTACTAAGGTTGCCTTAATCTAGACACTTTTATTATAAGTATTAAATATTTATTGTAAACTATATATATTCAGTGAGTAATGGAAGGAGTAAATGGGGTCCTATAGCCCTAAGCAACAATGAGCACACAATGG